CGGGGCCGCGCCGCCTCTGCCGCAGCCGCAGCGCCGGAGCCGAGAGCCGCCAGCGGGCGGGCGGGGCCCGCCGGACGCACAGGTACTGGGGCGGCCGGGGCTGCGGGGGGCGAGAGCCGTGGGCATTGTCCGGCGCGGGGCCGGGCCGTGCCCTGAGGGCCGCGGGTAGCGCGGCCCGGCCGGTGCCCGCCGCGCTCCGGGCCCGTTTGTCCGCTGGGCGCTGGGGCGGACCGGCCGAGTCTCACCGGCCTGGGCAGAGGGCAAGTCCGGGGATAGCAGCCGCTGCTCCGGAGGTGCCGTGCGGCACAGCCGGGCAGCCCGAGGGGAAGGGCACGGCCGGGGCTGCGCTTCCCGTGCGGCAGCGCCCCGGTCCCCGAGCTGCTCAGACGTCGAGCCGGGGAACGATCAACGTAAAGCCGCGCACGGCTCGGCCCGGAGCGAAGCGCAGCGCCCGGGCCGCTCCCGAGGAGGGCGGAGGGGCAGCGCCTGTCCCGTCCCAGGGCCGGCCGGGCCGGAGGCGCTGCCGGCGACCACCGCTCTTTGTTCCGGCCCTGGCCGCACGGAGCGGCCGGAGGTGCGGGGCCGGCGTTGCCTTGCGCGGCCTCTCGGGGTCCGGCTCCGAGGCCTCTTCCTACAATTGTTGTTCCTGTGGGTAGCCCCGATAGGCCTCCGCAGCAGCCGCTGTGCGGGAGGGCTGCTCGGAGCCTGTTTTCTTTGCGGACTGCCCCACAGACAGCTAACGCAGCGTGATCTCTGCTCCGTAGCATAAGAAAAGTTTTGTCATTGTTTTTTTTTCTCTGCAAATCGGTTGAATGCTGCCGGTACTGAAACTAGGATGTATCCGGTTTTGGTGTTTTACGTTTTTTAAAAATTTTAATTTCTGGTGAGGGATCATGTAGGTGCCCAGGATTTATTTAAAACCTATATGCTGTCTTGTGGGAATGGTGTGATTTAATTTGCATGATGACTCAAAGATTAAATTACATGACCTAGGCTCTTTAGTTTCAGTGAGGCAAATAACAATGCGTGGAAGAACAGTTTCAGTGTAGATCAGAAATGAAATTTGATTAACATCAAAATGTTGTAAAGTTTTGTCTGCACGTGGGTTTTTTTTTTTAAACTAACCTGTCAGAAACTCTTAATTTAATATCCTTAGCAGTGTGCTTTATCAGGAAGTGTGCCTTCCTTTTTAACACCTAGAGCTCGTGTAGTCGGAGGAAATTGAACATCTGAGCTTGCACCTTGGTATCGAAGGTTTTAAAGAATAGATTTTTACTATTTAAAACACCGTCTACCTTTAATTAATAGCTATTAACGTAATACCTGTTGATGTGGCACATGCCTTTAACTGCAGAAGAAAAAGGTCACAAAATATTCTGTGAAGTGGAATAAGTAGAATAAGCTATTCTGGGCTCAGGAGTAAGTTGATTTTTTGTTGTTTTCAGTTGTCCTGTAGAAATTGGCAGCTAACCTGACCTGTAAGTGTCATGATGGTGCCTTGATTGGTTTCTGCCTGCTGTGGACTGGCTGCTGTAAGAATATTGTATTTCACAGTTAGCTTCATGGTTTTCATGTGGTGTGGGAAACTGTTGGGTCAGCCAGCTAGGATGCCTTTGGCTTAAATTTATTTGTATTTGATGTGGATCTCATTAGCAGTGTAACATTGCTGTTGCTGGGGCTTTCCTTGGTCAGACAGAGGCACCTTGGCACAGGAGGAGGTTGTGCCTGGTGGTGTTGGGACCAAGCAGGATAGTCTTAGAATGTGAGTTTGTACATGTGGGCTAGCACGCTGCTGAACTTTTCTGAATGCTGATAGCATTGATTTTTTTCTCAAAAGTTTAATGACATTCTCTTCTTTATGTTGACACAAAGTTGTGAAATTTTGATGTGTATTGTGTGTGTTGAATGCACAGTTGTGTAAAACAGAATTTATATTTGTAAAAATATGTTTACAAATAAAAGCAGCGGTTGAGTAATACTTTGTGACAGTATGTCTCTGAGAGATAATTATACTCTTTGAGTATTATCAAGCCCAGACAAATGTATATTCCCAGTGGGGTGTGATAATATTAAAACTGCACCTCTTGGAATTCCGTGATTGGCTTATTCAGGAGGGAATGGTATCTATTTTGCATTCTGTCATGCAGCTCTTATTAATTAATGTCTGGCAGTTGAATGAGAGCTGACTGTTGCCCTGTAGTGCTGCACTTCCTAAGGTTTTTTACGTTTTTTTTGGTGGATATGGGAATTACTGGCCAGTGTCTTCCTTTCCGAATAATTTCTTTGTTCAGTTTTTGCAGATTTTTTTACATGAATTGTTTGCAGCCTATTTTTTTGTGTAAAATATTTCTGAAAGCTGATAATCTCTGTATGTGCTTTAGAGGCTTTAGACACTTGCTAAAATAATGATTTTTTTTTTTTGGTGGAGTTTCAGAAAGGTGCTGTGATAGCTGGTGCTGCTTTGAAGCAGGGGGCAGGAAGAAGCCTGGTGGCCTTTTAAATTCCCTTCTGGCCCTGCTTTTCTGTACTTGTAACACTGTGTAATATGATTTAATTACAAGAGCAGCTATTAAAGTATGATTATCTTAGTCTAATTGGAGGCATCTTGCAGTTACCTATCAAAAATAAGATTTGACTCATCTGCTCCTTCAAAATTAATAGTTCCATAACAGCCTGCAGCTATTTATGTAAATAATGTGTGAAGGAAAAATGTGAGTTGAATATTTTTCAAATATTACCACTTCTGCATTGTACAGTTGAAATTTTGTGTGTTTAATTCTCTCTTTGCCCAGGTTTTCTCTCGATACCATGCTTCTGGCACCACGAGGTGCAGAGGTGTGAGCCAAAGGGAAGCTGAATGTCTGCAGTGAGAAGGTGAAACTTTATGCTGAAATCCCTCCCCGCCCCCCAAGTGCAAACACAAAGGTTAAATTAGAAGATGAGGCTGTCTTGAATTATTTTAAAGGGCTTGAGCTGGGCTGTTCAATGCACGCCCAGGAGTACCTAAGGCTTACACTGGTGTCATGTGAGTTCGGGCTTTCTTTAGCCTGAGCAGAGTTGTGTGCTTTCCTTATTGCACCTTGTGATAAAATAACACGTTCATTTGCCCCTCTTTAAATACTCCTTATAAAGGCTTGAATTCAGGATTGATCCAAACTTGAAGCAGCCAAAATGCTGTGTGTTTACAGGAATAACTGTGGTCATTCCTCAACAGCCTTCGTGGCCTCTTTTTTTCAGACAGTGTTAATTTAGGAAGTAAATGGCTTGGGTTTAAATAAACAACTGCAATTTGCTTTCTAACTCTCTTGGTCTGAGTATTCTGGCTATGCTTGATATAATCAAAAGACACTACAAAAAGTTCCTGACTGTTGATTTCAAATTTGCTAAAAGGAAGCAAATATTAATAATATCCACAAGGGCATAAAATTCTGGGGGATATTACTGAATGTTGTAGATAATCTTTCTGTTTATTGAAATTCTGCTACTTGTAGTTAAATTCCAAGTTCCTTTCTAAAGATCATTTCCTCTGTAATCCTTCGCTCTTCTTCAAACACTCAGAGAATTCTTCACCAAAAAGTTAAATATAGCAGGACAGTTCAAAAACTGGCAAGTTATAATTAGTAGAGAACTGTAGTTTTAGTGTAAGATGTTTTTCTAAGTTCACAAACATCTTTGGATGAAGATATTTATGAGTTACTGTATAGCCGTTTAAAACATTGGATATTTTAAAGCATTCAGGTATACTGCCAAGTGTGGGAAATGGCTGCATCAGTGAAAAATTACTCTGTGCTGCTTTTGATCCTTGCCCCGTTGTGTATTTTTTTAGTCAGTCTTTATTGATAACAAATTGTTTTTTCTTACTAAGAGAATGTAACAAATTGTTTTAACTGCAAACCCTGCAAGATTTGAAACATGAGCCTTAAAAATAGCTAAGATAGAGCTTGGCTATAAATTAAACAGAATTAATTTGTCAGCTTTTCAGGGAGTTGAATGTATGTGACTGTGAGAACAGTACTTATGTTCAGTCACTCATGTGTGAAATGCCTTATCTCCTTTGAAGTTTATCTGTGTTAAAACACAGAATGAAAAATGGAGAAGCGTTTCCAGAAATGTGGAATGCGTGATCTATTTCTGGCTGCTAAAGCTGCCCAGGCAAACAGCTTGACATCTGAAGAAACACCTTTCTGAAAAGTTTTCATTGTTTTATTTACTGGCTTTTGAGTGAAGCATGGCAGTGCATAGATTTGGGAGGAAAGGCAGCTGCACAGAGTTGTAGAAGGTCCCTCTGACACCCCAGCTGGCTCTTGCACCCAGCCTAGCTTCGACTGTGCAACTTTCTCTGTCATTTTCTCTTTACTTTCCTGGCCAGGTACACCTGGGAAGCTCCTCATGGATGGATATATTTTTCCAAATATTCATTCAGAGCCACAGCAGTTTCTCAGCTCATCTGCTGAGGAGCCTGCTTTGAGAAAAAGTCTGTAGACACTGAGTTATGAGTGACACCTTGTACGGAGTGGTAGATGTGTGTGCTGATCACACCCATTCAGAGCATCCTGCTGCAGTGCAGCTCTGAGCTCTTCCCCTGGGCTAAGCAGTTTCAGGAGGTTTTGCTACACTTGTAGAAATGAGGTAGAAGTTATTGGTCATTATATTTTACTTTTGACTGTTACATGTGAAGTTACTGCTCTGGCAGGTGATACTGCTTTTAATAGATGTCAGAAGATTTATTTTTTTTTAAATGTATTGCATAATTTATAAAATTAACCACTGTATTAACAACCACATAACATTGTTGAATATCATGTATAGACAAAGAATAAGCAAAGTAAAGTCTGTTCACAGAGACACAGAATTTTACCAAAGAAAATGTGGAAGGCTTTATTGTAAAAGAGACCTTAGGGATGCAGACATGCACTGTGTAAGACAGGGATGCCTGAGAAGTCTCTCCCACACGGTTTATGAATGCCTGGCTCTTCTAACCTGTCACACCTGCTCTTCAAGTCCTAAGTTTCTTGTGACTGGAGTTTGGTAGTGATGGAGAAACTTCTTGGGAGAATTTAAAGAGATAAACTTAGAAGAGAT